ATCAGGTTTTGCACGTGCAGTCGATCACGTGATCTTCGCATCGAAGTTTTCTTCATATGCACGTGTTTGCATTGGCCTCATAAATTGAAAAAACGCTTTTAAACCATAGTTCTAAGGGTACTTGAAATGCCACGATTGTCAAATGTGCAACGTGAACGTGCCGTTGGCATGTTGCAAGCGGGAAGATCAGTTATTGACGTCGCAAGAGCAATGGGATGCAGCCGTCGTACTGTGTATGACTTGCGAGGTCGTCTACAACAAACTGGCACCACTTCTGATCGCCCATGGTCGGGTCGTCCACGTGTGACGTCACGAGCAGAAGACCGTCAAATCGTCCTACGTCACCTACGTGACAGATTTCTGCCGGCTACACGAAGCAGGGTTGAGATGTTTAGAGGTCAACTGTCCCCACAGACCATTCGAAATCGGTTGCGGGCTGCCAATCTCCATCCTCGACGTCCATATCGTGGGCCAATATTGACGCCGTTTCATCAACGTCAACGTCTGCTGTGGGCCCAACGTCACCTCCGATGGATCCAGAGAGACTGAAATCGAGTCGTCTTTAGCGATGAATCCAGGTTTACCCTGAGATTCGCGGACGGCAGGCATAGAGTCTGGAGACGACGTCGCGAACGCTATGCCCAATGTTGTGTACAGAAGGTCGACAGATTCGGGGGCGGAACTCGCATGGTGTTGGGTCCTTTCTTTGGGAACAACCGTTCCCGACTTCTGGTCATCCGTGGAAACCTCACAGCTGCTGCTTGCCGCGACCAGGTGCTCACCCCTGAACTCGTTCCTTTCATGGTGGCTTATGGCCCAGGTCTACAGTTCCAGCATGATAATGCTCGGCCGCATACCGCGATGTTGACACGAAATTTCCTTCAAAACGCTGGAATCAACGTCATGGACTGGCCATCGAAGTCCCCTGACCTTAATCCAATAGAGCATGTTTGGGATGCACTTGGGAGAAGGCTTCGTGGTCTTAGGAACCAACCTCAGAATTTGCAGGAACTTGGCGCTGCCTTGCAAGAGCAATGGCGCAGAATCTACAACCACGTGTTCACACGCATCAGGCAGTCGATGGGGAGATGGTGTTTGGCAGTGGTGAATGCGCAGGGCGGCCATACACAATATTGAGTAATTTCGCATTTCTAATTCTTGTGAGTTGACATTCTGCATACCCATGTTTTGGAACGGCGGTGTAGCCTAATGGAACTGATTATGGCACTGTCGGTGTATCGAGTCCATCACACAGATGTCAGCAATGAAATAATAACAATTTAACCATTTTAACCATCTCTTGTTCTTTAATAGTGCCCTGAAGAAAGAATGTGAAGTTTCTTTTTTGACTCAGTATATTTCAAAACTATATGATAATGAATCTAACCCTGTATTTAACTGTTTCTTAAATCGCCTCTATGAGCATTTATACAACAATAAATCTTCTCTTGTTCGTTCCCTTGGGTTCAGAATTAAGCCATTCTGCTGCCAGCATTGAGCTGGAAAAGATATCTCCTTTTCGTCTTCTTTCTTCTCCTCCGTGGCTGTTGGTGATGCCAGAGGTTAAGGCTTACAACATTTAAAACGAACCCAGAAACTGGTGAACTACAATATAAACAAGACCAAAATCGACTAAAAAGTAAATATAATACATACAAATCCTTATTTACAGATGGGACCAAGGATGGTGGTGCTGTGGCTTCTGCCAATATCATTGGATATAGAACAATATCTTTCCGATTACCAGATTACAGTTCCATTTTCAAAGCCGATGCAAACGCTATATTAACAGCCTTAAAATATGTAAATCAACACTCCAAATATAAACAATATATGATCTTTTCACACTCTCTTTCTTGCCTTCGAGCTATTCAAATCTTTCTTGTTAACATCCACTTTTAATTGAAATTGTTGAATTATGGAATGATTTTGCTACTGGCCAATACGACATCGACATCGTATTTTGTTGGTTGCCCAGCCACGTTGGCATTTCTGGGAACACAATGCCCGATCTTGGTGCCAAGGCAGCACTCAACAAATCTGTGACACCACTTCTTATTCCATACTCTGATAATAAAGCTGTAATCAGATGTTGCATGCGTGATCTGATGCAGAAGAAGTGGGACACTCAAGTAGGTATAAATAGATTACATGAAACATTATATTGGTTACACCCACTTGGGTTGTCAGTCCAGATTTGAAGATGTCATCATACGACGACGTCGTATTGACCAAACAAGATATTTTCTTAAAGGTTAGGGTCCTCTGTTTTGTGATGAGTGAATCACGGTCAAGCATGTTTTGATTAACTGTATTGATTTATCCATCACAAGGGATAAATATTTCAGTGTCAAAACAATAAAGGGTCTGTTTTATTGTATTAATTATCATTTAATAAGTTCTTTTTGAAAGAAATAGAGTTGTTGGATAAATGTTGATTAATGTTGTGTAAACAGGTAAATGTTTTATGATTGGTAGTTTAAATGAATAACTGATGTTGTTAGTGGCTATAGGGGGATAAAGTTTGTAAAATTATTGTCCTCCTGAGAGGGTACGGAAGACCCAAATCAATTACAGTAAATTTAAGCATATGTTTTTATATTTTTAACAGTCGTGTGTACGTCATTTCAATTTATGGCTAGATTGTCACAATTGCTAACATCTGAGTGGATGGTGTAAATCCAACTAGGGTCCATGCATGTAGCAAAGGCACTGTAAGTCCCCATGGTCCCTAGTTTGGTGACCTACCTTCAGTTGTTGGCAATTTATAGCCTGTTTTTTTTATATTGTATTGCCTTTCTAAGTTAAGATGTTGTATATTTTTGTACTAGTTTTACATTAATTTAACTGTGACATTGTAGTTAGTTTACTGTCCTTTGCATACAGGTAAATATATGATCTATTTTTCTTATTCATTTATAATTTTCCAACATTTTTAGTCACAACATAGCTGAAATACTGCCGATGGTACACACATACATACACACATACATACCTACTCACCGTGTTAAATTGAGAAGCTGGAGGGTAGCTTCACGGCGAAGACCCTACATACGTCCAGTCCTTTTTCTAGTGTACACCGCCGTAGCTTATTCACTCATTCACCCACATTGCGTGCAAACAGTTGTGCGTATCGGTGCAGGGCACAATTTGTTATACAACACCGCTTGTTTGACGTCATCAACATACCTGGAATTGTAGGTGTCTCGTCTACAAGCTACTCACAGTGATTATCTGCTGTCCTGCCATGTCTTAATGCCGAGTTCTGTATTTGTAGATGTATTACATATCCTGGAATGATTTAAAGGAACAATTTGACAACACTTAGGTGAGTAAACCGTCAGTTTGGGCCTTCGTCTGCTTTGAAAAGCAATAGATCAATTTTATTACAGGGAAGTAGATTACTATATGTGCACGTATAGTTTTGCCATCGTGGCCATGCAACTCCTACCCTCTAGTATCAGACCTCAATGCATGTTCAATGTTTTTCGCTACCACTTTCCTTGGTGTCAGAGGAAATTCTTATTGCAATGTTTTTTGGTAAATGTCAAATTATAATAAACCAGGATTATCGGTTTCGGTTTCCCCCTACCCGGTGTGCCAGTAACATTGTCTATATAATACAGTACCCATTGAAAGTAAACGGTACAAGCTTATCTTAGTTACCTTAATGTAATATAAATGTGCAGCAAGTGAATATGCAGAGAATCATTAGCTTGACACGTGAGGGCGATAATTACGGCTACTTTAAATGGAGACAGAGAACATTCTATTTGTAGCATGCATGCACGCATGCATTCATAGTATTGTTAACGTTAAACCGCCCACAAGCGTGTCGGTGTGTATGCATGTGTAGTTGTATCTGACTGAATACATGGCCATCCATTTCTTGTTTTCCAGCTTTACATGCCTGGGATCATGATAAAGGCATCGAAAGAGGTGGGTGAGTGTACAAGAGGGTAACTATTGCAGAATTTACTTAGTATAGAGGCCACAGGCCTAAGTACAATATGGGTGCGTGGCATATATACAGTCGAGCACCGTTGCGTCGAACTCTGATAACTCGATATCTACGTTGTCTCGATATAACATCTCGGTCCCGGCATAATCCTACATAATTTATCATTATTCAAGCTCTTTTAACTCGATACGGATGTCTCAATATTTGGAATATCTCGATATAATTTCATGATCCAAACAAGCAAAATTACCATTTTAAGTTGATATTTGCAAAGAAACTGGATATTCACCTACCATTTATGGGCAAGTATCCTTCTCAACTGAGGTTGTTTCCACACGTGTACACACGGCGCGGCATGAATCAAAGGGATGCGGTAGTGTAAATTAATTAGGGCTAATTGAGTTGAAGGTGTCACGTGTTTGTTACTTAATTAGGATTAATTAAACAAGAATTAATTAGGAAGTACTGTCACGACGAAACACTACTGAAACGGGCTATAGTTTCGAATCAACATTTCGAAACATACTTAGAATCCAATGGTTTTGTGTAATCGCGTGATATGTGTTGATATGCCCTGGACGGATGTATCGAAGTTCGGATAACTCGATATCTTTTTCTTGGTCCCATGAATATCGAGACAATGGTGCTCGACTGTACATACACGGTGCTTAATTTCACATGTAGGTATGACATATATTCACAGCATATAAGTTGAAGATATGTACAGAAACATCTACAGGAATGAGCAACGTAACATGAACGCTTTTTTGGTAAATTTTCATGAAGAAAAGAGCTGTAGATTTAGAGTTGGCATTTTGAAGAAATCTTATTAGACAATCGTTATTTACATATTGAGTAGGTACTGGGTTAGTGAGCGGACACCATAAGTCGGTTGGTGTCACATGTTACGAAGATCTGTAGATATATTATCAAGTAATCATTTTCATTGTGAATTATCAATAAAATACACTTAAAATAACACTCAGCTAGTGTCTCCGTATACCTGTGGTGGTCTATATGAGTATCACGTGTCGTTTAGATGCTGTCGCCGACAACGAAGATGGATGCAGACACGTGTGATGGCAGCAGCGACGATAGTGACAACAATGATTGTCCTCAGCGTGACGGTACAGAAGAGGCATGCCCGCCTCCAGTAGACCAGGATAGTAAGGTAACAACGTCAAAGAAGATGGATGCAGACACGTGTGATGGCAGCACCGACGACATTAACAACAATGATTGTCCTCAGCGTGACGGTACGGAAGAGGCATGCACGCCTCCAGTAGACCAGCACAGTAAGGTAACAACGTCAAAGAAGATGGATGCACACACGTGTGATGGCAGCACCGACGACACTGACAACAATGATTGTCCCCAGCGTGACGGTACGGAAGAGGCATGCACGCCTCCAGTAGACCAGCAGAGTAAGATATCGTGCTGCCAAATGACGTCGTGTATTGTCGAAGTACATGGTGTACGCGCCCTCTGATATAATCTTCAAATTATGTCTAATTATGAGAACAAAATCATTTCAAATGTGTGTTGGCGTACATTCCTTCACCGTCAACATAAATTGCAGTTTCCTTAACATCCCATGGTGATGCATTTGTGTTTTTCAGATGTTCCCTTGCAATTTGATGTGAAAGGGGCAGTAAATAGCGATGTGAAAAATAACTACGCTATCGGGCAACTGCACTTGCACAAAGGTATGAAATACACGTCAAGTGATGTTACTGAAAAAGCGTTGCCCTACACTAATCCGTCTGTGTCATTTCTCATTATTGCACATATGAGCACACCACATTACATTAAAGCACACTGATGCATTTATTCGTTCAGTACAACACTTTCTAATTCAGTCCGATACAGCACATGAGCGTATACCACAGCCGAGCATAGCAAATACATTGTACATGTAAATATTATATGTTGTATCACACGCAATAATGCAGCTCAACACACCATTTCATTCGGAGGAGAATCCATAAATAATAATATCAGCATGATCTTTGGACACATAACACAACACTGTGAAAGGCACTCCACATGTAGTGATAACATCATCGTTCTAAGGAGACCGGTGAATATCCGGGTTACAATTGATCTTCAGTAACTCATGAATGAGTGAGTTTAGTTTTACACCGCACTCAGCAATATTCAAGCTATATGGTGGCGGTCTGTAAATTATCGAGTGAGGACCAGACAATCCAGTGATCACAAGCATGGGTTACTGAAAAATCAATTCAGACCCGGATCGTCACGGGTCCAGTAACCCAAATGTCAGGCTTGCTGACTTGGATGACACATGCCATCGTATCCTAGTTGCGTAGATCGATGTTCATAATGTTGGTAAACATATATTTGTTATTCTAGACAACGCTGTTTTAAGAGTTCTCACACCTTTATGAATAATAATTTTCAAATCATGTTTCCAGAGGGGCAAAATATACTATCAATACTGTTGCAGAAGGTAACTTATCTCTTAACGTTACAAAGTAATTCAACAACGTACAGAACTTTTATTTTCGAGGATGTGTCAGACATGTCCCCCTAAAGATACGCTACATTGCCCTGGTTTCCATCGCTTTACACTGAACAGTACACTATCTAGTGCAGAAAGGTAGGACACATAGTATGGTATTTTACCGCCGAGGGCCCACCTGCACACAACAATCTCAGCGCTGCAGTAATTGTAAATCCCTAAGATCGTGATCTTAGGGTTTGGCTATCCATTTGCACAAAGCCAATACAACCATGGGAAGTTGATACATTTAGGAATTTTATTATTAGGAAATATTAATAATATTTTTTTTTCATGATTTTCATGTCCTTAAATCTGGACACATCTTCCTAATATCAACGTGTAAAAGGGCTCAGTTTGATAATATGTTGGTTTGTTTCAGAAGTGCGGAAAGACGTCACAATGGATTATGTTCCAGGTGCAGAGCCAAAAATAGACATTTCAGGTGAGTAGTATAGTGAGTCAAAAAAGAAACTTCACATTCTTTCTTCAGGGCACTATATAAGAACAAGAGATGGTAAGATGGTTAAATTGTTATTATTTCATTGCTGAGAAAACATCCCACACCATGCAACTTCCCCCGAATCTGTCGACTTCCTGTACACAACATTGGGCATACCGTTCACGACGTCGTCTCCAGACTTGACGGTCTTCTGCTCGTGACGTCACACGTGGACGACCCGACCTTGGGCGATCAGCAGTGGTGCCAGTTTGTTGTAGACGACCTCGCAAGTCATACACAGTACGACGGCTGCATCCCATTGCTCTTGCGACGTCAATAACTGATCTTCCCGCCTGCAACATGCCAACGGCACGTTCATGTTGCACATTTGACAATCGTGGCATTTCAAGTACTGTTAGAACTGTGGTTTAAAAGTGTTTTTTCAATACTTGGGGCCAATGCAAACACGTGCATATGAAGAAAACTTCGATGCGAAGATCACGTAATCGACTGCACGTGCAAAACCTGATTTGGCACTAACGTCATTTGCAAGACGAATGGATGGGTTTGAGTGGGTTTTGCTAACGTTTTTCTAGAGTCGAAAGATAGGGATCCCATTTCGGATACATAGATGTATCATCAGAGAAAAATTATTCATTATTTTTCAAATTAGATTTTGTGAAGTTTCTTTTTTGACTCAGTATAGTTTTCATGACAGTTAGAGACACTTCCGATAAAATTACCAGTGTTTCGTCATTTCTAGAACCATCGCCTGTTATAAGAAACATATTCTGCCCCAAAGGTAATTTTCAGTTGCATAGATATTTCAAACATTTTCATAAGATATGATCCAACAACTGCATCAGGCAATATAACTGTGATCTATTTTCAGTTCCAGCTAAAGAAGGTGAAACGATAGTGCATGGTAAGCATCACTGTTTCCTGTGCTTAAAGCTTATCAAAATCATTGATGGTCAAATGGCAGTATATTATCTATAGTTGTTTCAAAGAGGAAATACCCGTGAAGGTCCGGGTTAGAATATTGGCGTTCAGTAACCTGTGCTTGTCGTAAGACGCGAATTATGGGATCGGATGGTCAGGCTCGCTGACTTGGTTGACATGTGTCATCGGTTCCCAATTGCGCAGATCGATGTTCATGCTGTTGATCACTGGACTGTCTGTTCCAGACTCGATTATTTACAGACCGCCGCCATATAGCTGGAATATTGCTGAGTGCGGCGTAAAACTAAACTCACTCACTCACTCACTCATAGAGGAAATGGGACGGATGCGTTGAATGACAAAAACAGTATGAAAATACATTAGTGGATTATGCTTTGATCAGTGTGGCAATTTCAAGCTCGTTGAGGATAAAGCTTCCCGAAACAAACATGCAAAATATGTAACGATCAACGCAACGGATGTATCCCACGAACGGTAGGGAAGTTTATTATCCACTTCATGCCATATGTGATCTCAAGCACTAGAATTAATGCTTTCGGTCTTATTCTCATGTCACTTTCTATGTTTAATTTCAACAGTTGAATGTACCAAGAACGAGCTGTCTTCCTGTTGCTATGGACACTATGATGGACGGGAACGGCCTTTTAGGTCCAAATGGACTTTTGAGAATGTTCCACACGGACTGATTAAATTCATTATGAAGGAGTGCCCTACTTTCTTCGAGCTCATTGATAAATTGGAGAAACGGCATCGCAGTAAATGCGAGAAGATACACAACAAGTCATGTCTAGTTGTGGAATTTCTACATGATACTGAGGAAGACAGAGACAGAATGATGCAAGATAAAGAAAATGTGAAGACGATGTTCATGGAGTTCTTGCATGGTATAGGGAAGGATGCTCCTAACTGCAGTTTAAACGTTTGCAGTGAGCCGGCAGCTGTGAACATCCGTGATGAAGATGTGAAAGAAATTATTGGTGCAAATCCAAGAGACACAAAATTTACAAATACATCAGATTCGGATTCAGATTCATTTGTGTGAGTTGATTACTTGGTAGTAGATGCTGCACAACCTACTAATGTTCAGTGAATGTAGTCATACCGTAGAATGTATGTATGTTTACAAGATATCTATTAAGTGGCTAAGAGCAAAATATTCTTTACGAAATCATGCTGAAACGGAAGGTCGCTTGTTTATTTTCGAAAGGAAAGTGTTATCGTGATATAACTTTTTTATAGTTACTCCTTTCTGAGTGCATTAAAAAGGATTGTTCTTTCATCAGTGATGCAACAGACGAAATTGTAGAAGACACAGAACAAGCTGCCAATCTGCCTTCAACGTCTCAGACTGAAGATGCGAAAGAAAGGATTGGTCTCAATCCAGAGGGCACGCCACCCATAATAACATCAGCTTCCGATTCAGAATCAAGTTTGTAAGTTCAACAACTGACACTGCACAACAGTTTAATTTTCACTTGATGTAGGTTTTTGTGGTAATCGAAAGGCAAACATGTTGTTTCCAACGATTCGTGTTTTTTCGAACCGAAAGTGTAATTTGGTTACAAGTAATATACTAACAATTGTCTGGAAACACTAGATAAGTTATACGCATTCTAGGAAGGCTCCTCCGAGGTAAGCAGACGATATAACGTTCATTTTAACAGGCGCCAATCCACTTTTGTTAACTTTCAAAAATAATCCATAGTTTTTCCTTTAATACCACGTTTTAACTGAAATTGGATAGTGCCTTCAAATGATGTTAAATAGGCAACACTTCAGCAGTCCTAGGTATTTGCATACACTCACAAACAAATAATTGATTGTCACGTGACAGAAACGTTATGTCTAGAATGTCAGTTTGAGTTAAAGTTGTTATATAAATACATTTCAGTTGCAGTTTGAAATGTATTCATTTTAAACCTTCAGAACCGAAACGTGCATATTTTCACGAAAGCATCAGCTGCCACTGTGACGTATATCCCACTAGTTTTGTTCCTTGGTAGCAAATCAAAGATGCGATTTTAGCCAGGCCAAATTTACCAGAGGGTGCTCTAGCCACAGCAGGATTTGATACATTTTACATACTTGAGATTACTGTAAAATGAAAAAAAACAAAAAACATGGAAACATTAAAATTGTTTTTGTATTTTAAAACAGATCTTACACTTTTACATATTAAATCTATTAGTGTATATGGCTATTTTAACAGTTAAACGAAAGAGCGACACACGGTATTGGCGCCTGTTAGATGGAGAATGAATGAAAAGCGAACATTTTAAAGGGTAAAGTATATCTTCGTTGACATTTTTAGCTAAAATTACTTCTGTAACTGCCTCAACACAAACAAGCTATGTTCGGGAAGGAGCAGCAACAGTGTTTGTCATGGACATCCAGTATGACCAGTGAAATTTTCATTTTGTTAACTGGAGTCAAAATTACGCCGTTGTATGATATTCTTCGAAAACGGTCACTTTCTTTGTTTTCGAACGAAGAATGATATTATGAGGTGCATTATATACTTACTCGTATCTAACAGCTCTAGATATGCCATGCTCTTTTCAGGGTGTTATCTCCAATATCCTCAGACACAAAAAGAACTCATGCACAAACGGAAGTGTTGGTCGAAGGTAATTAATTTTCTAAAAGTCTTTTAACTGTAGAAATAGGGGAATATTAATGAAGATTTTCCATGTATAGAATCAAGGTACCGAGTATAAATGCTGAATGGTCTTCACGCACCATAGCCTAACCTGCATGATTAATTTCAGCAAAAGGCGTTTTAAAGAGGTTGGATAATTTCAACACGTCCTGACTTCCTTCAGCATGCTCCACATATTAGGAGTATTGTATCTTAGTATCATTAAACATGCCATAAATATCTACTGTACATATATCTCCGATTCGTTAATGTTAAACGAATACTATTATTTGTTGTTTTTATACAGTCAGTATGTTTTTCTCTCTCTGAAGATCATGTGTATGGAAACTAAATCTCTATCAATGCATCAGCAATATTTGTTTTTTGACTTTTATATGAACACAGGTATTGAAAAAAGGGTAACTGTAACATAATTACTTCAGACTAAAATGAACAGATTTCTTTTCCCGGTTCTCGTAGCTGTTGTAAACTGCCTTGAGTTTGGTATTTATTAAATACTAGTATCTTTTCCTAGCATTTTTAACCTCTCTACAGACATCGGTATACCATTGCGTATGTACACATAAAATTCATGCAGTGTGCTGGCGATTAGGTGCCTGACCCTGAGGGTGTGAGGGTGTGAGTTCGAGTCCCGGATGGGGCTCAACTCAAAAAAGTACTAGAATTTGTACTTTACTAAGAAAGTGTAATCCCAAATATAACATATGTTGCATTTGACCACTTTCTAAATGGCATTGTGTAATCATAGCTTTCGGCCGTGGGAGCCGTGCCAATTAACACTTATCAGAGGGGTACACAAAGCCGGCAGTCTAGACTACCAGTTGTCCGACTTCCATTTTTGTGGAAGTCGCGGTAGCTGAATGGGTTAGGCGGCTGACTTTGTGTGCTGGCGATTAGGTGCCTGACCCTGAGGGTGTGAGTTCGAGTCCCGGATGGGGCTCAACTCAAAAAAAAAGTACTAGAATTTGTACTTTACTAAGAAAGTGTAATCCCAAATATAACATATGTTGCATTTGACCACTTTCTAAATGGCATTGTGTAATCATAGCTTTCGGCCGTGGGAGCCGTGCCAATTAACACTTATCAGAGGGGTACACAAAGCCGGCAGTCTAGACTACCAGTTGTCCGACTTCCATTTTTGTGGAAGTCGCGGTAGCTGAATGGGTTAGGCGGCTGACTTTGTGTGCTGGCGATTAGGTGCCTGACCCTGAGGGTGTGAGTTCGAGTCCCGGATGGGGCTCAACTCAAAAAAGTACTAGAATTTGTACTTTACTAAGAAAGTGTAATCCAAAATATAACATATGTTGCTTACCATAACGAGACTATCATAATCAAGGTTTTTCTCCTGTGTTTGGCAACTTGATAACACACTTAATAAGAAGACAATACATTCATGCAGTTTACTGTCAGTGGTCGTGCGTACAATATTGATTATAAATCATCAAGCAATATATCACATGTATACTGGCGATAATAAGATTGCATGAAATATATACAAACTAAAGGAGAAGCTATATAGGGATATAGCTATTATGTAGAACTAAGCACACTTTCATGTCTCGAGAGAGCATTATGTCATGCAAGTGACAATGAATATTAATATACTTGGGTTATTACCTCTACACTCAGATGCGTAATTTATTAAATGTTATTAGGTATATACACAACGTATACATACAAATTTAGTAAAAGACATGTCTTCAACACACAAATCGTTGTGCATAATCATTCATATAATTTCCTTCAGAACCCTATTTCAATGAGTGATTTTCACAACCTTCACCTCAAACATAGCCGAGCTATTTAGTGTGCTTTTATCGGCCCGCAACCAACCGAATATGAAACTATTACGACATAATCAACTGCCAGTGTACAACAATTGCACCAGAATGAAATCACAAATTAGTTGATGACTAACCGGCCTTTTAGTTGGCAAGAGTTTTTGAAAATACATTTATATGAACCTGTCATTTATTTCTATGTAAATATGAAAAGTCGATATACATTGACCATATGTTCTACATATTGCAGAACCTTCCAGTTTCCTAATTGGTAAGGTTCAGGTGCCATTATCCGTGTTTGTAGATGATATGAATACTCAGTATGTCATACCTTGTTGGCGCGATTAGAGAGCCTTATTTAATATCTGCCCAGAATTCTGCTGTAATTGTAATGAACAGATACTGTTATTTCAGTACAACATATTCAATATGTTAATCTAGTCACATGAGATGATTGTTTTAAACATCGTTGAGATTAGTTGGTAATCATGGGAATACGTAACATACCTGTCGGTCGAAAAAAGGGACTTAAAAGAATATGTGTTGCAGATGTCTTTGACACTTAAAAAGGGTTGTAGGTCACCTTTGAACAATGTCACACTAACAAGCTTCGACTGCTGCTCTGGGAATATATATGTAACTGTAACTAGTTTATAAGATAAGAGGGAAAATATGTAAAAGTATTAGTGATCATCAATACACAAAATTTGTAGAGTCAGAAAACTGGCTTTGATGTCAACTAGAAGAATGATATCTAGGAAACCCTGGCCAAAAGCACCCATTGAATTATCGGTGGGTGCGACTACTGACATTTTAGCAGAAACTGGATTTGGAGAATGTTGAAAGGCCTGTGTGCTGCTGTCTTTGTCGTTTGTACTGTGTTACCTTTTCACGTTTTACGGGCTTAATCTTTTCAAATCCGAACAAGCTGTTGCTGAGATCAACCAAAATGAGCAGATGGCATATTCATTATTCTACTGAGTCGAATAGATGATTAAACATTGATCGTATAGGATGGTAATCATTGGAATATGTGATGTATCTCTTGGTCTGCAATAGGGGACCTTTAAAACTTATGTGTTTCAAATGGTCTTGACACTTCGCCTCTGACCAAGGTTGTACGAGCATGCTTCCATTGCTGTATTAGGAATGCCTATCTACATGTAATTAGCTTAGATATGCAGATAAGGAGGAGACTATAACAAAGTGTTTTTGACTGTCAAAGTAACATCAAACAAAATAGATTGCCACTAAACTCCTATGTCTGACACGTGTCTGATTTAACGTGTATATCGTTATGCAGATCACATTATTGACCCCAAACGTGTCCGCGTAACTCCAAGTAAATACTGTTACACTGAAGGATGGGAGTCCGATTTTACCTTACGAAGCACTGACTGAATATGTGCGATCCTTTAATTTTTCAACAGGTAATTTGTTGCGACATGATCAACAACATAGGCCTGATACTTTACACAAGAAAAGTAACTGTTACTAATTCATTTATATGATAGATTACGAAACATACTTTCACAAATATATGTCCCAATGTCTTAAGCTGAGCAACATGTGTAACATGTATAGTCCTAAAAAGACACTTGACCTGTTGTAGCTAGATATACCAAACAAGCTACCACTAGGAGCTATCGCATGTAAGAGGTTTTGTGCAGAGTATCAACACCTCTCCTCTTGGCTCACACGGGTGTCTGATTTTGTATGTATTAGTATATTTCAACTATTTACGAGGACATATGAAGAAGACAATAATACAGTTAAGAGTGTGCATTCATCTTATGGACCATCCTGTATTGGTAAAAGGTGTGGTGAGGTGAAATTGGGTTTAACGTCGTGGTTGAGAATATTTCGCTCATATGACGACGTGCATGCGTGTGTATGTGTATGTGCGTCTGCTTGTACTAGCCCAGTCTTAAGCTGGTTTTATAGTGCTAGCCCATTGAGATACCATGCCGCAGTGAAGCATGAATACCCCACTCAGACACAGTATAGTGACTCCGAACCGACCAGTCCTTGTTGTACCCATTAATGCCGAGCGCCAGACAGAGACCAACAAGTACCATATTTTAACGTCTTTTGGTATGAAGCGGTCGGGGATCGAACCCGCGACCTTCCGCTGTATTGATAAAACATAATATTGATATGTTAAAATGAACACACCGTTCTGACTGGTTCGTTTGTGTCAACAAACAATTACTGACTTTATGTACCCATTCGATACTTTCATTGAAATAACAATGTCTTTATTCATATTTTGTACAAAACTGCGTTTTTCTGCATACAAAATATATATTTACATATCCCACCCTCCCACTTCAGCTTCACCCGTGAACATCGGGGTTAGAATTGGTCTTCAGCAAGATATACTTGTAAATTACACAACAAGTAAACAAACCCTACACTTTCGTACGGTTGGTGCTGGCAAAACCGCACGATAACAGCAAATGGGTTACAGCAAATGGCTTACGTTCATGTCTGGTAAAACGACTGTGTAAAATTAAATCGATCACCAATATGGCTTTTTAATAATTCAATGTTTCTGTGAAAGTTAAGAGGGAGTGACAGAGTAGAGAATTGGTACGTTTGGTTTTGACAATAACGGGAGTTCATATTGGGATTATGTGTTACCCCAGATCCCCTGGACAGCACAGAATTTCAGCATAATATGGAACATTCTTGATGTAATTAATGGTGCAAGATCATACCTTTTTTTCACATGTTTCAACATGGCCAGTGGTAGTGTACATCAATATTCCACACAAGATATCCAAGCCCTATATAGAACAAACTTTATGGATAACAACTTCTTTTATTTGTGAGTGCGACGTTTCGATACAGATTCTTGTACCGTTGTCAAGCATAATGGAACATGAAGAAGGGGGAAGTGTATATTTACTGGATATAACAATGTAACAAAGTACCAGTCCACTTGGATTTATTGAGTACATTGCCATTAACAACATATTCAGCAAAGTCATTGAAAAGATTGTACTTTTCAACCAGTCTGAACATAATAAAGCATGGTGAATAAAAACATCTTTTTGGGCTCAAAGACTCACATTTGAATTGCACGAGTCTGCCAATAAACACATGTTTAAAACAGTAGCAGTAACTTACACTACAAAGTTTACCCATAAAAAGCAGGGATTCAGAGTCAATATGGGATTGTATACTGACAAGCTATAAGCTGTCCAGCACTACTTCATTTGGGGTTTGCTTGGGTAGACCTTGAACTTTTTGGCTGAAATATCTTTGGGGTATTTGCAGCATTCATATTCTTTTGGTGATAATTGACCCCAGGTATTACAACCATATAGTGCAGAGGGTAATATTACACGTCGAAATACTCGTACAACAGCGAGCGGATTTAAGCCTCCAAAGTAAAGTCCGTGATTATGGTTTACATTGACGAGTTTTTTCAACTTCTCACAAGCACGTTGGGTCCGCTCCATGAATTTACCACCACGCGAGAACAGCACTCCCGCATAGAGGTCTTACTCACATTGTAGACTAGTCTCTATTTACAAGCTTTTGATGAGCAATGTCTAACAGCTTTTGAAGTGCAAGCGGGGAGCTACTTGGAATTGTGGCGTCGTCTGCTAAAAGTTGACCTGGATAATGACCCCATGGTAGATTATGACCATACCCAGAGCTATCCAATTGACAAATGAGGTCATTTATATATCCAGTAAATAGCCAGGCTGAAAGAACGCGTCCGTGGCCCACTCCTTGCTTGACTGGAAAGCTATCCGATTCACAGCCGGAAAATGTTACATATGATACCATTGATGAGTAGGCATTGCGTAGTAGTCGCCATGTCTTACCGGTTATACCCATATCGTAAAGTTTACAGAAGAGGCCATCAAGCCAAACTATAGCAAACGCCTTAGCATTATCAAGAAAGGCACAATACACAGGTGACTGTCGTTCATTGTAATATGCAATGTTCTCACAAAGACTGAGACAAGCTGTCTCTGCTCCAGCATTTCTGCGGAATCCAAACTGCAGATGGTGTGGGAATTCGTTTTTATCACTCGGCCAGTTTTCAATTCTGCACAGCAATAGTCGCTCGAGCAATTTACTCAGCACAGACGTTAACGTGCTTCCCCTATAATGGTTAACATCTGATTTGCTTTTGCCATGGCCCTTATGAATTGGAAGGATTTTACCAAGGTAATATGAGGTTGGTAAACATTCATTTTTTGCAATTGCATTAAATAAGATTGTAATATGTTTAAACAGTGAACGTCCTGCCCGTTTAACATGTTCATTTGTAAGACAGTCTGGTCCTGGCGATTTGCCCGGTTTAAATGCTCTTACAACAGACCAGACCTCGTCTGACGTGAATGGCTTTTGAAGAGTTGACTTTTCCGTATCTGTCGTTATTCCACTGTAGGACTTTTCAATATTAGCCACTTTATCACAAACCGAGGAGGCAAACTGTTCATCAAAGTTTCCAGACGTCTCAGGCGTTGCAAGTGTTCTAAAGTGAGAGCTGAAAGCAGAACACATATCCTCTGGAGTAGGAGTGTTACCCCAGATCCCCTGGACAGCACAGAATAGTTCAGCATAATATGGAACATTCTTGATGTAATTAATGGTGCAAGATCATACCTCAGTTTTCACATATTTCAACATGGCCAGTGGTAGTGTACATCAATATTCCACACAAGATATCCAAGCCCTATTTGTGAAGTGTTGTTGTCAAATAATTAACACCAACAATGATTTTGTCACTGCCGATTCTACACCACCAATGCAGATCTGGTGCTATTGAATTTTGGACTGCTACCCTACAGTGTACTGCCATTATTCCGAAACTGGAGTAATGTGAGTTAGTTTGTAACCCTAGTTAATGTTACTGTACAACTGTTATTTGCATAACCTTCCTTACCTGTTTGTTGGTTTCACACAGGATTATTTTGCTAAAAGATGGGTTTTTCTTTTAGCTATTGTTTCAATTTGGAAATCAGCATGTACTTCACCATGCTGTAGTTCTTTGAATCAGTTTCATTAATTTCTCTCTCTCTCGTTCAAATTCATAATGAAAAGTCAATAGCTGTAGTTCAACGAATTGCTTGTATTCTTTTCTCTCAAGTTCATCATGATTCACATTCATATTGAAACGTCAATATTTGGATTTGTAAGCAGACTCAGGTCAATAAAACGCAAGTGTCCTTGCTATAGATTGACTGCAATAAAGAAATAAGGGAATCTATAGTTCCATATAATGTTATCAGTATCGCAGCATTAACA